ATCCTGTTTTACTGTAAACGTATACAGATGTTTTTTTGCCAGCGGGAAATGAATTTCTTGTAAGGATTTCATTTTAGTAAGAAGGGCAGGCTGTCATGAATTAGGCATGGTGAATCGTCCCCCCAAAAGAGTAGTTTTGCACAGTTAGATCTCCTGTCTGGGCTATTAGAACTAGTTAAAGCTATGCTTATTTCTGAAAACAAAAGCGGTCATCGTCTCATTTGACAGTCTTCGTGGACTTGTTTTGATCCAAAAATCTTTCTTTTTGTTTTGATGAGAGAAAACACCAAACTCACATCAGCTTTCAATGCACAGATTTGTCTGGTAGAGAATGTATGAAAATGGATTTCATCCATCCACTTGTTCATCCAAATCCCTCTTTTCCTGTTGAATAAGAAGGTTCAATAAAACATTTGATGCTCCTTGAAGCTGCTGCTAAGGCAAAACCTTTCCAATGCTTGCTGGAACCATACAGACAAAACTGAAAGAAGGCTGTGTGTAAAGCATACGTAAAACTTCCACCACCTCTGCTTTACTTGCACTCTAACAAAAATCAGGTCCTTTGAGGTCAGGAAAGGTTCCTTGTTGATGGATTAATTTCTTCAATTCAAACTTTCCAAAACATTGTGCAGCCACACATTTGACCTATGTGAAGATCCTTGTCAGTCTGGTACTATAAAAACAGGAAGATGAGCAAGAAGATAAATGTTCTTCAAGTCTTGCCGTTGCTAACCTTACTCCAAATGGGTGAGATGGGGAAGACAAAAAGTACAGCGTGCTGTACAGAAGACGCTGTTACTCATCTTTGCTAGATTTGCCCTTTGCCTCTCATTTCTCATCATCACAGCTGCTTGCTCTCAGCATGGTGTTGGTGGATGCCACATGCAGCACAGCATAGTAAGAACGAGAAATAAGGTACCGGGGAAAATGATTCAAAATCAGTTTGAAAGTGAGATGGGGAATATAGAGGGTGACTTGGAGGTGGGGGAGTTCACAGAAAAAGGCCAATTCTTTTTTCCTTCTTAGAGCTGTGAAACTTTCAAATACCAAAGTCTTGGGGGTGCTGAAGGGACTTTCCCAGTAACAGCACAGAAATTTCACTCTCCCTTTGCTTATTCTCCCAGTGTCTGTGTCCTCCCTCTGTCCCTTATCCCCTGGAGCTCCCACCTCCAAAACACCTTTGCACAGTTCTTGCGCCCCGTAAGGAACAAGAGTTTTCACAGAATCACAGACTGGTTTGGGTTGGAAGGGACCTTAAGGCTCATCTAGTTCCAACCCCCTGCCACAGGCAGGGGCACCTTCCACTAGAGCAGGTTGCTCCAAGCCCCTGTGCCCAACCTGACCTTGAACACTGCCAGGGATGGGGCAGCCACAGCTTCTCTGGGCACCCTGTGCCAGCGCCTCAGCACCCTCACAGGGAAGAACTTCTTCCTAATGTCTCATCTCAATCTCCCCTCTGTCACCACTCCCACAGCTGAAACTGCACCCCAAGGAACAGCCCAGCGCAGTGCTCTTCCTGCCCACCTTTTTGTCCTTTTCTGCTCTATGGAGGAAAACTAGTCAGCACCTGTGGTTATCCAAAGGGTTTCTATTTGACTAATGAAATCTCTTGCAACCAGGGAAGTCAGAACCTTGAATTGTTTAATAAGGCTACGAAATAACTATTGGTTAATGGCCTTATATAGCATAAAATAAACGCATTAACTACCTGCTTACAAAATATTCTGGTGTTTGCGTATGCTGAGGCAGAACACAGCTGTCAGAGGATTTAATTTCTTCTCTACTTCCCTGGAAAAAGTAATTACAACCAGCCCTAACCAGGATGATTTACTAACCTCTCTCCCTGCAAGCATTGTTTCTACGTGCTAAAGAGACACTTGGTAATTGTCTCCTAATAATATTCCAGGCAACTTGCTTCAAACTAAGTAAAACAGAAGATGTTGCTGTAGTTGACAAAGGATACATAAAAGACTTCACCCCTATCCCATGAAAAACATTGTGCAGAAATATATGTTGTGGAGCTGATGATGTGGAAAGGGTTTAAAACAACCACACAGGTAGACACGAGACCTGCATGTCCTTTCTCTGCTTTAATCGAACATTCCTTGTTAGATCTTCAAGAAAATGCAGGTGAAGAACACACCCTGCATTGCTTGATGAAAATATTACTTTCTCATAAAACATACAATCCCACTTTTAATTCTGCTTACTGCTTTAGACAGTGTTTCCATGAGAAGGGTGGTCTGGATTGTATTTGTTCAAAACAGTTCAAGGCAAAAGAATAACACAAACTGATCACAGTGTCTATTCTGGGTCCAGCCTGGTCTCTCCCACTAATAATGCCAGTCTTACTTTTTACCCTCAATGTGGAATCAAGTTTATTTTTGGAAGCTTATTTTACAGTTCAATGTGGTTTTAGCAATACTATTTCTAGTTACAATTTAGAGATTATATTTTCTTTCATTCTGATTAATCTGTTAAATAAATACGCAAATATATCAAGTGCTCTCTATAAAAAAAATACATACACACAAGAAACAACCCCTCAAATAATCAAACCAAGATTAATAAAAATATGTACTATTTTACACATGAAATGGCCATCTAGTTTTGAAACTATAATGAAACAATTACAAATGAATCAGATGACAATCTAAAAAGAATCAGCATATATAGAATAATGGCATTGCCTCTGTGAAGACAACTTGAACATCTCCTGTTTAAAAATACAAAAAGAAGCCAACCAGTGGTGTCTGTGCATTTATAGCTACTGAACATTAAATAAATTAGAAAGGAGTTCATGGATTTCACCCTTAAACATCTGAATAGGGAGACAAAATACATGCCACATCTTTCTTTTTTCTTTTAAAGAAAAAAATAGCCTCCAAGACAATGAAATATCTCCTTTTGATTGAGACCTATCTTCAATGAGGATTTAAAGAAAGGAATAATTCATACTCTGGATCTCCATACTTAGTGCAATGAGTGCCTAAAACCAGTTTCAACACAGCCTTCAGCAGATCATTTTGACTTATAATAACAAGTAGGAAAGCTTGCTTAAAAACTTTACAGGAATTAAACAAAAAGATCAATGCACAGAGTCAACAAACTTCCCACTACACAGTTCTGTATGAAAATACATTAAAGGACTGAGAAGTTTGACAGTGGACCACAAGTACTGATGTAAAATCACGTTGACTCCATTAGCTTGGACCACGAGCTGTGTGACTGTATGTGAGACATGCTGACCTACGTAAAGTCCAAAACCATCCTATGTGTACTTTAAAATCACATCTCATCTTGGGATGTTTGCCCAGGCATAAACTGCCCCTGAGATCTGCCTGCAGATACTAAGGCACTGAGCAACTCAACAAAACACATGGGAAACTGCTGGAGGGATGCAAGTGAGAAACGTGATCAACAGGCTTGTGCTTCACGTTCCAGTAAAGACCAGTGCTAGCTAACACTAGTATTCAGCCAGCTGAACACTTGTCTTCCAAATTGCTTCAGACAGAGAACATAACATGCTTTAGCAGAACATTTTCAGAGACAGATGCTGTAGTAAGGGGACAGGAACATCTGACCAACCCTGCTACAACTGACACAGACCACTGCTTGTGATTACCGTAGGTGGTTTTTACTTGCATTTTCCCAAGGCAGCCTGATTAGAAGTTATCATTGCCCCTCTAGTCCAACATGCTTTCTTAAAAATGGCACAGACCACTGGCAGTAAATAATTTTCTTTCTGACAACTCATACAAATATAATGCACAGCATCATAGCTTAATACAAATACTTTACATAAGAGACACAAAAGGACAAACAAAAGCATATAACAATGCAGCTGCAGTTACTTTACTATATTACATGGCTAGGAGAGTTTCCTTTTATTTTCTTTGATGTTTTCTGTTGAATTTGAACTTCTGGTACCAATAAGCAAGTAATGTTTCTTTTGGTATTTTTAAAAAGCAGAGGGAAACCCATGGATGAAATAGAATTCAGACAAACTGAGCAAGATCACAGAAAGGCAACATTTAAAATCCCAGCAAACTGGTGTAACGTAATAGTTACAGGGGAAAAAAGTTTTACAAGACTCAGCATCTCCTAAGTAAAACAGAAGAGGAAGATGGAGACCTGTTCTTCAGGAATATACTGTCATCTTCCCTACCAATCTCCGGTAGCTTGATTTGCGCATGTGTGATAGAGCTGGGGTCATTCTGTTCTATTCATTATCCTAACAGACTCATTGAAAACATGCACAAATTGTGACAAATGAAGGAGGGAAGAGAAAAACCAATGACCACTCGAAAAACTCAAGGATAACTGTACAGATTGTTAGGATAATAAAATATAGAAGTTTATTATGTATTCTCTCATGTTTTCATCTGTGTATTACCCCTCCCGAGAATACTTGTTATATGGCCATAGACATTTAAAAGAGAGATAAATAGATTTTGTCCTTCGGGGTTTACCTCATTGCAGACCAAGCCATAAATCATCATAAAATGTCACTTTTTGTTTATACTCTAAAGGCACCTGGCTGGAAGGCATTTCTGAAGGATTCCTATGTTTTAGACATTGTATGGAAGGACTTTTTGGTTTAAACTTGATTTTTGCTTTTGACATTTTTTCCTTACTCTTGTACCATGGCAAGTTTAGCACCTTTAAATGCCTCTAAGATGGAGTGACTAGACATTTCTGTACCTCTGCACAGCGAAGACCCTCCGTCTGGGGAACAATAACATAAACTTTTATCCCTCCTAATGCCCAGGACACAGTGAGGGTCCTCTGTGCAGGAACCGGGAACTGAAAACACTTGGGGGCTTTTTTCAGGAAGGAAATGTCAGATTTTTAACTCAGACAATTTTAAAGTGATTAAAAATGAATAAACTTAATTAGGTTCAAAACACATCAGTAGCACAGTGCATCGCTGAATTCCTATCCAGGTTCCATGTGATTGTGATTTCCCCAGCTCTGATCTACTCAGCAACTTGGTACCATTACACACCACTCTTCATGTCAAGCTCCTGGTGATTTTGTGTTTCATTAACGGTCAGGAATTCGTCACATGCTCCTGTTCGGTTATTTGACTGTTCTTTATGAACCAAGTGCACCATTTCTTGTGATTTGCTGGCATCTCCATTTAATCCACTTGTCTTCCTGTCCTCCACTGCCCCTTTGCCATTGTTAATCACCAGCTTTTTCTTCTGCCCACATCTAGAAAGAAATAAAAAGAAGTACTCTAAATGGAGACTAACAGAAATAAGGAAGAAAACGAAAGTCAGTATTTAGGGAAAGATGTCTGGAAATGAAATTTGTGTCTGCCAGTGTGGACTTAACACAATGCGAAGTGTAAAGTTCCCCCCTATTGCATATTCCAATTTTGAAAGCATCCCTCATGATATGCAAAAAATTTGGCAGGAGCTAACTTATTTGATTTGTATCTACTATTACTACAGGTAGGAATAATATTCATTACTGGCAGTTAGAAAAGATTTTCTATCCTTTGGATATATCCACATTTATGAACTTTGTATGTACCCCACTATAAGAATGACCTACAGGGTCATTATAAATCTAGACTTTGGACCACACCTTTGAAAACGCTCAAGTTCTTGAGATAGTGGTAAATATGGATTAAGCTCTCATTATGCAAGATAACTTTTCCCTTCTTTGTATTAGCATGTAAGGCCTGGAAGCCTGCCAACAGCAAGGAAATATGGATTACCACTCTTGTTGCTATCAACAGCATAGTTCCTTATGATGTTAAGGTAGTAAAGAACTACCACACTTCTAAAGTTACACTCACCACAGAGCTGCCCAATAAACTTGGTATGTAGCTTTGAATGAACACACACACACACACACACACATGCACTCATGTGTTTTGAATTAGTTGGCATTCACATGCAGTACACTGATGGCGCAATAACTATGGGTCTATGAATTTGAAAGGTCTTAGCAGAGCATAGATGGAAAAGATCCTTGACTTATTGTCATTTGGATCCTACTAGAGCAGTGAGGAAAGAAAAAAAAAGCCCCCTGTTTCATGCATACCAGAATACACTCCAGCTTCAAAAAGATTTCCTCGCAGTGATTAACACCTATTACTAGGGTCTAATCTGTGCATTCATATGCATACATGCGCCCACATGCACTTGCTCTCTTGGCAGCTCACTCCCAGATGCATGGAAGCTCTAAGTAAAAGATAGGTTTTCCATTAACAGTATCTAGGGTATAATTTACAGCTCTGAGATTGTTTAATTTCTTGTCAGATGCAATCTGCAATTCGCCATAGTGGCCCTGTTTGTTTCTGTGGTGACTCTGGGTTAAAAGGGAGGAAACAATGGCAGTCTCTACTTTTAGAGGCATAACAGAATAACATGTAAATCAATAAGCCATGCCATTCAGTCCATGTAACTCCAAAATCACTTCCCTGAAAGAAAGTTGTAGAGTTTTCTGTCTCATTATATGCTTGCTAGCTTTCTTATTTCAACAGGTCTCTAATAATACTGTCAGAGAAGCACTGATATTGTGGGTGACAGCCATAGGGCAAACACAGCAGGTGGCATCTCAGCATTGGCTTCAGCAAAACTGTAATCAGTTTTCTATGTCTGACAATTTGGCATTTCATTTGCAGTATTTTGTCTCACCTGGCTCCTGCATTATGGGCAGGGACTGCCTGGGTTGCTCCCTAACCATGGTGGCAGTGATTTATTCTAGCACCCATGCCATGTTTTGGAGGACCTTGACACTATTTCACAGAAGCATTAACATGTGCTTTCCTGCAATGAGCAGACTAGGAATAAATTTGCTCACTGCTTCCTGAACAAATATCTCCACGTATTATGCAGTACTCTGATACATAATATAAAATAGTTCAAATTCAGCATTCAAGTAGAAAATAGATACTCTCTTAAAGGGTTCAACTTTAACATTCAAGTCACAAAACAACTGTGTAAGACAATTGAGAAGTAACCTCAGAACAGCCCCTGGAGAAGAGAGTAAGTGAAGAACATTAGAGCTTATCCTTCAGAGTATTTTCAAATTTCCTGACTAACTTCACACAGGTCACTGCAATTTCTATTCCTCAGCTTTCTCATCTGTAAACTGGAATAAAACTTCTAAGTAAATCTGTAAAGCTATTGAGTGCTCTGCTTTGCATCCCTGTGACTGCCAGCTGTGGTACTGCCTTTTGTTTGGAAGGAACAAGTTAATCCTGTGACAGCTATTGTCTAACACAGCCCTTAACACTGTACACAGACAACACTGTTAATGGTGGAGGATTACACTCAGTTGGGGAGGGACTCTTTGTTAGGGACTGTAGTGGTAGGACAAGGGGTAATGGGTTTAAACTTAAACTGGGAAAGTTTAGATTAGATATAAGGAAGAAGTTGTTCACAGTGAGGGTGGTGAGGCACTGGAATGGGTTGTCCAAAGAAGTGATAAATGCTCCATCCTTGGTGGTGTTCAAGGCCAGGTTGGACAGAGCCTTGGACGACATGGTTTAGTGCGAGGACCTTAAGACCCCCATGGCAGGGGGGTTGGAACTAGATGATCTTAAGGTCCTCTCCAACCCAAACCATTCTATGATTCTGATTCTATGACAAGAAACAGTCTAATTCTCAGTTTAAATGCTTTCTATGTTTTGCCACCCTGAAAATGCCCAATCTTGGAAGCTTAGCAGGTTTTGGCCCGGATCTTGTCTAGAGTTAAACAGTGTGTTCTGAAAAAAATAAAGGGGCTCTCTTACCTTCTCCGACTGTTGACAGCAATGCACACTGCAAGAATCAGTGCAAGTGCCACAAGAGCAGCAACTACGATCAGCCATTCTGTGGGCAGAGTTGAGGGAGGGGAGGAGAGCGTGTTAGTATCTCATGTAGTTTTGCCATTTTGCACAACTGCAAGAACTACCCATGGCAAGAACTGCCCATGGCAGGGGGTTGGATATAGATAATCTTTAAGGTCCCTTCCAACCCAAACCATTCTGTGATTCTGTAACACAAGCTTCTTCAAACTGTCAGCCTTTTTTCCTAGCTTGCATGAATGTTTGTTCATTTTACAAACTGCTTCTGTGCAAATTCAATACTTTTTCATCATTCAGCTATGAGGTTAACTCAGATCAAATACCCATCACTGTTGACAACTACAAGCACTGTACTTCAGTGGGCATAAGTGAAGATGGTTGCATCATGGTGTTGGCTTCTTTGCATATATCTTTACTGAATTTAGCCTGATTTCATGTCAATTTATAAAGGTTATTTGGATCTTAATCCCATTCTCAACTGCATGATTCCTCTCATCTCGGTATGGCTGGAAAATTATACGAGTTACAATATGCTCCATTTTTCAGACTACGAGTGAAAATGTGTAATATCACCTGATTCAGAACAAAGCCTGAACAACTGTAATTGACCTACATTTTCATCTCCTTCTTCAGTTCATGTTAATATAATTCTGCAAACTGTTAAAACATATGACTTCAAAAACTGACCTGGTAGCTGGGCCAACCTTGGTTGTGAAACTATTGTTGTTGTTGTGGTCTCTCCAGGGAAAGTCGTGGATTCATGATGCCCCCTGTGTGGTCCTTGATTACCATATATACTGGGGGTAGACCCTAAAGAATGAGACCATCCATTAGGCCAAATATGCTTAGTGAATATCTAACAGCGAGGCACAAGGACTATGACTTTCACAATTAAAAATAGATACTCTAGAAAGTTCATGCTGAGGTCATTAAAAAGTATTTCTACTGAAAACTATTACATACATTATGATCATCATAATCATCTGAAATATGGCTAGTTTCAGTATTCTGAATAATGAAACTCATGGGTTTTCCCTCCTGTCTTTCTCATATATATCCATTTTGATTACGCTATACTTTTGTGAACCAAAATGTAATTACGATTGCCTAGAAATGTTCTGTAGAAAATGTAAAGACATGTGAACATTGGTAACTTTTGAAGAGGCTTCTGTCATGCAACTCAAACATCTTGTCTGTTCTATAGGGAAAGGAGAGTGAGAACAGAAGAGAGACAGAAAAAGAACTTTACTTTTTTATTTAAACCTAAAATGACCAATATGGAGAAATTCTTAAACTTTGGGTGTTATTCTTACACAGGATAAAACAATTTCATAAAATAGAAGGATAGTTCTCTGAATGGTTTTAAATCTGATAGCTGCATATAGAGTGGGACCTTAAAAATTTAAAATATTATTCCACGTAGAAAAAAATGCCCTCTTTAAACTTGGAGGTGGCTCCCCTTGCCCTTTTTAGTAAGTTGTGTAATTTGGTTCTAAGATATTTGAATCAAAATGCATACTTCCAGTCTCAAGCGTTTGCGATGCAATTGCATTTCTGGCCCATGCCGTTACCATATGGCTGTCCCAAGTCTAAAATTATCAGCAGACTACAGATACTGTGATTCATCTGGGGCAACTACTTCATTATCACTACAAAAAAAGATATTACAGATCTCCACCTCTCTGATTTCTTCCAGACTGTAACAGAGCAAACTACGCACTTATTCTAATCAGCTGTAAAGTTCTTTTTCTTTAACACATACTGCAATCCATTTCTGATCTCATTTCCTAATAACAGCTGGCAAACACAAAACTGAGAAATACGTTTTTTTTCCCGTTAAGTTTAGCCAGTTCATGAATCTTCCAGATGTTCTCATTATTTTTAACAAGAAACTTATTAATTGGCACCTTGTTTTGTGCAATCTCACCACAAAGGACAGAGCACTAATTCAGCAACTAAGGGTCCTGATCTAGCCTCCAAGAAAGCTAACCAAGAAGAATATACTTGTCTACGCCACACCTCAGCAGATTTTGTTTTAAGGTGCTTTATATCACCCTTGAGAAATGCCAGAGCTTTTCCATCACAAAGCCCCTTAGAAAAGCACTCAGCTATTTATTAATAGAGAGCTGCTACTTCACCCCTCCCCTGAGCACTGAAAAGAAGCAGGATTCAATCACGTCTCCTGCTGTTCTGGCTCCAGGGAGCTGCTTGTAAGTGGAAGGGAGGGATCCTCAAAAGCTTTCTACATTTCATTCTGATGACAGACTAGATTCTTTTTCTTTTTAACAGTTATGTTTTTGGTTTCTTCAGTGGACTGATTTGTTATTCCATGGACACTTGGACAACACATCAGTCATTAGTGTGATGTCAGACCACAGCTTAAACTTTGCTACAGAGAAAAACAAGTGAAAGAAAGTAGCATAGCACTTTAAGCCATTCATTTGTTCAGAGAAAGCCTTTAACAATACATCTGCTGATACATTCATGAATCTTTTTTCATTCAATTACAGCTATATGGGGCAACATTACAAATCAATGAACCCTTCAGTAAATAAACTCTTTTCTGATGATGGTAGTGTCCAAGTAATTCCCCTGTATTGTGTTTTTTTAAAAGTAACAGGAGAAGATAAATGAAAAAAAGAATATGGCCTTATGAGCCTTTGCCAGGACACTGACAGTGCAGAGATTTGACACAGACATGCACTTTGAAAATTATCTTCCAAAATGTTCTTACAGGTTTTATGTGCTCAAAACAGAAAGCTAGCAATCATTTTTTCATTGCATATAATGTCTGCAAATAAAATTAAGGGACACATTGTATTCACTGAGTGAACAGGGCAGCAAAAGAAAAGAAATGAGTTTGTTGTAATAGGAAACCATTACTAAAACTAGATTTATCTTTCCAATGAAATTCTTTCAAATACATTGTTTGCATTTATATTGCTGTGCCTGTGTCAAAGTACTAAGTCAGGCAATTTTTTCATAGGGTTGGTTTTACTGGGTTTATATAAAATTCTGGAAAAAAGAAAAGCCAGATTCTGACTATGAATTAACAATTAATTAATAAACCAATTATCTTTAAATTGTTTGCTATATAATGTTATAAAAATATAAGTACCTAATCTTGCTTATGGGCAAAGAATGTGCACAGACCATTGGCCAAAATCTACCCCGGGATCCTTCCACTGACTTTCTTGAAAGTGCATGGGAATAGTATTTGGATTATTGTGCATGAGAAGTAGCATTTTGAAAAAATCTTACTGTAAAGATGATTATTTGGATGGAAGCTGCATTTGAGAATAAGTCCCTTAATTTCCCATACTTACCAGCATGTGACCACACACACACAAAAAGAAAGATTGTACGTAGTATAATAAGTAATCACTGTTATTGTTGACAGCACTAACTCTATCTGAAGAATAACCCTCAAAAGAAAAAGGAGTTGTTCCCATATAAAATGTCAGTTGCAGCCCAGTAACACAGCTATAATTAATCACTGGCAAGATACCAACAGCAAATACACCCAGGGGAATAGAGAAAGGTTTCACAGAGAATTACTTTTTCTTTTTTTTGATACATGTTCAGTTAATGTAGAGGGAATACAATTAGGGACAAAGTGACAGCAAGTTAAGCATAACACAGCTATCATTTGTGCGCAGCAAAAAAGAAAGCCAAACTGTTATCACTCAGGTATGGGCATGAGGAGAAAATTTACCCTTGCTCACTGTAATAGTTATGTTAACACATACAGACAATTGAATATAAGAAAAAGTTGTATGCAGACCACTATTTTCAGCCTCTTAGGAAACGACTTCTGCTTTGCAAAGGAAGAGATTCCCTTTAGTGGCATCTTACAATATGGTTGTAATCAAAAACAAAAACAAAAACCAAAAAACAAAAACCCCCAAACCACCAGAAAGGAAATAATATGATAATAATTCACAATTATAGTTAGTACACATGTTTTTTGACTATTGCCACTGTCCAAAATAACAACTAAATGATGGATAAATGAAAATGCTTGTAATTTATAGTTCTTACTAGTAGGAAGAGGAGTCTGCAATTGGTTAAGATGATCTTCAATGTCTCGGAAAACTCCAGGTATCCAATTGATATGGGAACCATCCGTGGTGTTTGCTTGTTCACTGTCACTTCCAGGTGGAGACCCAGGTGCCAGTGGCTCCTTGGTTGCTTTCTCTTGTATAACATCATCCATGGACTGTGTGACTGCCATGATGATGGCATGATCAGCTTTAGCAGTGAGTGCTCACAAAACCACCACCCATGTTTTTTCCCTTTCATGTACCACAGCGAGCCCAAAAGCACGTCCATCCTCCTTATTCAAAGCACAGAAGGAGAGAAGACATGAAGACCTCCCCTTCTTCAACACTGTCACTGGCTTCTGAGAGACCCTTAAGCACCACATACATGCTCAACACACTGAAGGGAGATGTTGTCTACAAGTACAGATTCCAGTGACGGGTGGAGAGGGAAGACCTTCAGAAGAAGGGACCACAGCACCACCAACCTGACCCTGTGACTCAGGACTGAGCAGCCATACTGCAGCCAGATCTGTTGTGGTCTTGCCTGGCAATCCAGTGGTGAAGAGAAGTAAGGAGTTGAAGGCAGAATTTAGGGGACACAGTTCTTCTGTGATCGCCCTGCCCTCACCACCGGGATAGCACTCGTCAATGATGGCGCTGCTGCTGAGCCACAGGAGCAAGCCATCTGCTTAACACACCAGAGCACCTCCACCACACCAAAGATGATGCCAAAGCATATCAAGCCTGAACCCGCTGATGTGCAAGAAAGGAAGGTAGGACTGGGGATTCAGATCACCAAAGTGCAAAGTGAAACATGCTTCAGCAGAAGACATAAACCACCAAGTCTATCAGCAAGAAGGTAATTCTATCAACAGCACAGATCCCACCACAGATTTTTGCACTGCAAGTCCACACCAAGAATGCAGACCCCCAGGATGAGAAAGATAGGGAGAGAAGCCAATTTCAGAAGAAATAATGCCTCATTTCACACCAGGCATGAGAAATGAGTATGATCCATTATTCTTACTGGTACCCGTCAGAGGAGCGTCATCGCCAGCTTTGTTTGTACTAGCTGTGGTCCTGTGGAGGACCTCATCCCCAGGGGCGTCTGTGGGATGCGTGATGCCTTCAGTGCCCTGTCCTGGTTCATTATCTGAAGACAGAGGTGGCCAAGTTTGGTCTTCGTGGTGGGCACCGTCAGGAGAGGCAACAGCTGTTACCACGATGCGAGGTGCCCACACTTCTTGGGTTATATCTTCTGGTTTCAGAAAACCCGTGGAGGCTGTGACTGTTGTAATGATGGCTAAGTTAACTTCAAAGATGTTTACAAAACCCCACCTTACATATTTCCCCCTCATTTTATTTAGCAACCTCTACCTTTTTCTTCGTTAGCCTCTCTAAAATATACATAAAACCCCTTCAACCCAAACAAACAAACAAAAATAAAACCCCAAAACCAAACAGCAAACAACAGAAAAGCCACAAGTAAACAAGATCTTCTATATATGTCACGTTATTTTTGGTTTGTCTCTTCCTTCACTAGCACTCTAATGGTCATGTTAGTAGTTGCTTATTCATTTCTTAAATTTCTGTATGTATTAAGCACATAAAGCAAAAAGTAGATAGCAGCCACTTCGACTATTTGTGCTTGAAAATACTGTCATGTTAAAAAATGGGATTTTTTAAATTTAGTTAGGCATTTCTCTTTTTCCATGAGATGATCATAAAGATATGTGATGGTCTCCCAAAAGAAGAACTGAAAATTCATTCAAATGGAAGATTAAGACAGAATTACTTAATGAACATCTTTCACACATCATTCTGGCAGTGCTAAGACTGGTACTGATGCAGAAAAGTAAGCATGTCACAAAAGCATGCTAAGAAATTGGGTAACCTAACTAAATGCACTGTCAGAATGTCTGAATGTTCAAAAATATTAAATAATAAAGGTTAAAATGTATTCAAAATTACACCAGCGAAAGTTATCAATCCTAAGCAAAATGAGAAACCAAAAGATGCATTTCCAAACAGTGGCCTAAAGTCTTTGTTTAAAAATACCTACTAATCACTGTTTAGAAGGGAGAAAAAAATTAATATTATTTTCAGAATAAAATGAGTATAAGGATTCCCATTGTTACACAGCAATAAGATTCGAATTGTTGGAAAATATTTGAATAAATTGCAAAGTTGTAGTTGGGTTTCCATATTTGCAATTGGTCAGTCAAGTGACAGAAATCTTAAAGGACTGAGGAAAATTAAGTGTGAAGCTTTACAGGATCTCTTCCACACTTAGAAGCAGGGAGTAAAAAACTGTATTTCAATCCACACAGCTTTTGGTTTTGATAGCTCTTTGGCAAATCCTAGATGTTGCAGATTAAATAACCCTGATGAAATTGGATTTTGAAGTAGGAAAGGGAAAGCATAAATACTAATTTTCCCTTAAATTTTTTTTTTTTTTGTAGAAAATGCAAGAAAGATGCAAAAAGTTTCAAAGCACTAGAATGTCATAAAAATCCATTATTAAACAATTAAAGTATTTTAAAAAAGCAATATTTTGATTTGGGAAAATTTTAATTGGATAACATGCAGAGCTTGGGAATCAGAGTTAGAACCTTGCTGAACTACATGCACAAACTGCAGCAAGTTATGTCAGTTCAAAGTAATAAGAGAATCTGTGGCAACACCAAGACAAGGAAAAATCAGACGTGAAAAACTATTTTTATATCTATGAATCATTTACAGCACCCGCCACCGCCACAAAGCAATTACTTTCTCAGTATCATGTTCTACTAAAAATAAACCTGAGAAAAGCTGGGGGACATAAGAAACAGGGCACCTAGAGAAAAAAATATCCTTAAGCAAATAGAAATTCTTACTGGGATGTTCACATGCAACAAAATCATAGAAATGATTGCACTGCAAGTCCACACCAAGAATGCAGACCCCCAGGATGAGAAAGATAGGGAGAGAAGCCAATTTCAGAAGAAATAATGCCTCATTTCACACCAGGCATGAGAAATGAGTATGATCCATTATTCTTACTGGTACCCGTCAGAGGAGCGTCATCGCCAGCTTTGTTTGTACTAGCTGTGGTCCTGTGGAGGACCTCATCCCCAGGGGCGTCTGTGGGATGCGTGATGCCTTCAGTGCCCTGTCCTGGTTCATTATCTGAAGACAGAGGTGGCCAAGTTCGGTCTTCATGGTGGGCACCATCAGGAGAGGCAACAGCTGTGACCATGGTGATTTAATCAGCTGTGAATTCCATGTGTGTGTTGCTGTGCCCCTCCCATTCCCACCACATCCCAGTCTCCACTTTAAACCACAGCTCCCCTTTCCTTGCCACAAAAGAAGGAAGACCTTCTGTCCTCCCATACATTATGACTGTGTTCTCAGTTTATTGATCAGACATTTTCATTTGCTATTCTCATCCACTTAAAGGATTAAATTACATTTCCTCTTATTTCAGCAGTAAGTCATATGTTTCTCATATCATGTTTTTGGTATATTACTTTGCAGGCCTAGATGGCATGTGTTATATGAGACTGCCTCATGATAATTGTGTCATGACAGTTTTGTAAATTACTTTCATAATTCTATGCACCAGAGGAACAAATGTTTCAATAAAATGCATGACAAGAACACTTTTCTCAGATGAATATTCACAAATCAAAACCATTAACCTATAGATGTACAAATATACATACTTATGTATTCAACTTCATAGTAAAGACAGTGGGGTAACACCAAATAGTGTAACATATGTAATGAGATGGATGCAATTCCAAATCCTACAGTCATGCTTCGCTAAGGAACAGAGAGCACTGAAAGTGGTGTTCATAACTAAAAATAATAAACATTTCATAGAGCTAAAATTGAAAGCTTCTATCTCGCCATCACCCAAGCAGAGCACAGAGAAAATTAATCACTGTATAATTTATATTGTTGTCTTAAGTTACTCCTCACTACAAGTTCATGCAATATCTTTTCAAGACAGACCATCTGAGAGACAGAAGTTATGAAATATATACAATTGACTAGTACCTGTAGTGGATGAGTCTTTTTCATGACTATTCTTTCTGGAAGGAATAATTCTATCCATTACAGTAGGTTGTGTGCTGTAATTCTCTCCCTTGTCCCAACCTGGATACACCAATGGGTCTTGCACTGAGTCGTTCTGTTTGGCCCCATGGTTTGAGGGCATAGCTGTTATGATGATGGTGAAGCAATTATGAACCCAGTATATAAAGATCCATTTCTCATATTATTCTCCTCTTCGGTTCTTGTCTCTATGACAGGCCTTGCTCACATGTCTACTACATTTAATGGCAAAGAGAAGTAAAGCAGATTTGCTTCTCATTCCAGTTTATGTTTAGAAAAGCTGCCTACTGTCACCAATAGGACTGACTCCTTGAACGTACACTTTTTGGAATCAAGCTATTTCATTTCAGAATCAAAATATCTCATTGTTTTTCAAAAGTATTTCCCCAAATCATAATGACTTTTTTATTGGTTAAATATCAAACCAATACAAACTAATGCAGAATTAACAGCAGCAAAGGCAGAAATAACTGCAAGAATTTGACCCATCGGTAAGATTTTAATCTCAGTATTTGACTACATTAGTTATATACAATGTCTTCCCCTCAGAATTTCAGTTTTTTTTTAGTTGCATCATCTCCAGGAAAATAGACAAGGGAGTCTGACAGCGGGGAAGGCTAGCACATGCTGTAGATTTGTGAATGATGCACACAATAAGACAGCATTCAACTGGAGAATATTTGATATTGCAGTTATTTAGAAAAATATTATAATGTCTATTTCAACCATTCTCTCGCTTTTATTAGACAGTCACAGCAAAAGAGTATCCAAATTTTAATAAGTAGCATTACCATCCTTAACCCCCCCAGCTCAATCAAAAAACCCAAGAAAATTGCCTCAGTATGTCAAAATTTTAATTACAACTAGGTCGAATTATATTGCTACAGTAATATAATGTAATATTTTTATATATCAGTAATAGTCTGTACTGCATTACCAAATTTTTAAAGGATGTTGATGAAACACCTGGGGTTGATATCTTAGATGAATGTGGACTTAGGGACAGTTGATGCAGTAACCTACACAAAACTTTTGCTAATAAGATTGCATTTAGTTGAAGGAATAAATCCACATTATACATAATCTCAAGTAATATTTATGATATGCTTGTTTTCAGTGACCTGTGTTTGATAATGTGCAAGAGCAGATGCTGACTGTGTTAAATTCACTGCTGGCAGAACTTAGTACAGCACATCAGTCATCAACTAGTAAACCTTGCACACTCACAGGAACAGAAACTAATATACGTTGATTTTAAGTTACTAGCTTTATAGTATAATTTGATCTCTTACATTTCAATTACTTCAGCCAATGGGAGAAACCTCTCTTTTATTCTACACTATTCTTTGTTTTCCTCCCTTCATCACCAGTATCATCTTGTCATAGTTCAAAAACGGAGTGAGTAGATATTTTAGGTAAGATAAGATTAAATTGAAATAACTCATCTTATTTAGATAACTTATTTTAGATAAGTTATAGATATAATTGCCATATTAACAAAAACCAAGCAAAAACTCCCACAGGTCCAATAATGACTTGCAAGAGGGGAGTGAACACACCTCCCAAATATGTGAAAATAAACCAGACATTATTCTTTTTCTGTTTAAACATTCACTGTTTCCTACAGATACAGCCCTAGTAGATAGCCTGTTAAAACCTTATGCCTGCATAACACAGAACACACAATGTAAGAGACAGTTACAGAATTAATCTTAATTAGTTAATATAGGTCTCAGCACACAATCCAAATAGGAGACAAAGCAAACCTCCAGGAAAAGGTCTGTAGAATAATTAAAAAAAAGCCCCAACAAACATCAGAATTGCTCAGGTTTATTCACAGAACCTCTGTTATGGCCTCAGAATGCAAAATTGTTTGTAAAAGAAAAAAAATCCTAAACCTAAACCTTTAGTAAACCCTCATAATTTACTAAAATGTGACCTGGAATGTTACCTGATGTTACATGAGAAGACTCCTTTTCAATATAATTTTCACCTGCAACAGTAATTTCATGTTGTTTAATACTCCCAGTAGTATTTGCAGGATTTTGTTCTTGACTGATCCATCCAGAATGAACAGTGTGTAACAGGGGATGTTGGGTTGGTCCTTGACGGTTTTCATTTTCACTTGTAACTAGTGTTGATAAGATGATGATTAAATCAGTAATGATCAAAACACCCAACACCAGTCCTATAATTCTCATCTTCATCATCTACACAAGAAGGGTGCTTGGCTTTTGTGTTTTGCCTTTTTCCTTCCATTGTTGCATTCAATGTGAAATAAAGGTGAAAGAAAAGGAAAAAGTCCTTTGGAAACCCTATCACACAAAAGCATCACCAGGATCAGAAGATTTAAGTGTGCTAGAAAGTATCCCAGTGACCAATGGCAAAGCTATAGGAGAAGCAGTGGAAGAACACAAAGAAACAAGAGCTTGCATCTCTAGTTCATAACTATTAATGCTAACTTAACTGTTGAGTCTGTGTATGTTGTGCTTTTAAAAGTAAAAAAAGATTATGCACTTTCTCTTTTGAGTTTAATTATACAATTGCAAGGCTGGATCAAATGAAATTGTCATTTCTTCTGGGGCTGGATGAGTAAAATAGGTATGTTTATCAATTCAAAATTGAAAAGCATACTTGTTTTGAACTCAGTAATAATTAAAGCTCTTATTGATAAAATAAATTCATTGCTCACTCTTTAATTTGCCAATGTTAACATAGCAGAAGATGCAGTCAGAAATCACTTGAAATACCACCACCATAAGAGATTTTCTAATAAACATTAAAAGGCTTAGAAAAGATGCAGAAAAAAAAAATTACCTATAACACTAAAATGAACATTAGAACTCAGCCTGAAATATATTTGCCTGAGGTATTGCATGCTTCCATGAGCCGTATATTAGCGATAAAGCAAAAGGTCCTTAATCAGAGCATGCGAAGAACAAAGAATAAACTGGACCTAGTACATATGACATAAGTCACCAGCTAGAGAAATCTATGTTATTTCCCGAAGAGCACAAAGCTGAAGGAACATTTATCTTCACATTCAGGCAATGAAATGTTCATACAGAGGGCACTCACGCAAATGTAATTCATTTTTTTTTTGTAATTAAACCAAATACCTATGGATTGTCTTGTAAAAAAAAGAAAAAGTTAATTTTAACTAATTTAACTGATTAACAATACTTCAGAACTAAAACAAAGTTATCACAAAAATTATTTCTGGGTGATAAGTAATTATAGCACCTGTTCTACACTGTGTAAACCTGTGTAAACTTTCACTGTTCAAAACAGTCTAAGAAAGACAGGTATCTACCTGCTGAAGGCAAATTGTAGAAATCCAGAGAATGTCTAAATCCACAGGAGGTAGAAAACGTTTGCTTTTATAGAGGGATAAGAAGGTTTTCTGCAAGTAATGAAGATTAGATGCAAAGATAGACTTGGAATGACAGATGAATGTACCTCTGAGGGCTCTAGTATAAATAATGTAAAGGCATTATACTGAACTGAGGTTAATGGTATGGGAATTACAACCAGCTGCACCATAACAGTGTTATACTTCACTGAATTTTGTCACAAATCTGAATATTATCTGAAATGCTTAATTGCTTTACCCCTGCCAGCAGAGTTAGGATGCTGCTCCTCTTCATCTGTATGAGCAGGGTTCCAGTGATCTTGTGTGGAGATTTCCAGAAGTGTTTCATGTTGTGAGTCCATAGCTGTCAAGACAGCGGGGTATTCAACACTGACCATGCTCCACACCTACCACTATTACACTACTGTTAGTGTGCGCCATAAAGGTGATGGAGAACAGAAATTCATGCACAGCTTAACTATAGTAGCTTCTTATCAAATCCCTTTACATCAAACCAGTTGTTCTTCTCTTTGCATCGAACAGAACAGAAGTTTCCCAAGAAGAATGGGCAAAACAAGTAATTGAAGACTAATGCATACCAGAAGTAGTGCAAAAACATTACAGCAGTTACAGACTTTCAAAATCAAGTTTGAAGAATAATGCTAGACCTGAAGGTACGGTACCTGTCCGAATACATGCTGACTACACAAAAAGTGCTCAAATTTGTGTTAGAATACTCACCACTGAGCTCAAATGCTATGGTTAGCAAAAAACCCCAAAGCACAGCCAGCAGGAAGTCAATTTTAGTCAAGAAAGTCGTAATACAATTGAACAGATAAAATAAAACTTCCACAAGAGTCTATGATCAGAGACTTTATACATTTTCACCCAGTGAGCATGCAGAAACCACTAGGCCATAGCAGGTAGCTGGAATGCAATATGCCATGTGGAGCAAGTCACCGGTGCAGCATTTCAAAAGACAAACACCAGAAATGCCCCCAAATTAGGGAAAAGAATAAAAATCCCAAAGCGAGATGACTTGTTCATTTTCTATTTTCTTCTAAAAATAAAGACCATTGCTGAAAAAAAACCCAACAAATACTCCACAATGGAGTTAGAAAAAGGAAAAAGCTTAAAAACACTGACTTATAAACACTACTGAGTAAATAAGTGCACAGGTAAAAGACAGAAAAATACACTCAAATTAAATCAAATTAAATTACAAAAAGGGAATAGCTTGTTATCTTTGTACAAACAAGAGCATTAGAGCATAGTCAGTAATGGCAACGCCTTTACAGAAAATAAAACCAACCCAGGGCTGGGTGCCATTCCCTGGTCATAACACCAAGTAACACACTTTGTGCTTCAGTGAAACACAGCATTTGGATTTGATCCTCATATGTGGTGGTTTTCAGGTTTCAAGACAAAATTATTTAAGGTATGGATAGTTTTTTAGTTAAAAAGGAGATATTGGATGGTCACAGTGCAACTATTCACATCAGGAAATTCAGACTATATTAAAATATCTGAGTTGTATTATCAGATCCCGCCTGAACATCTGAGGTCACAAAACACATGACATGGTGTTAGAACATTGCATGGTGAACATTGAAGGTAACAGCAAGGAGACAGTTTTGTTGGCACTCCCAAATGAAAAGGGCACTTGGGATTTCGTCGCCTCAAGATCATGCCTGAACATCATCTTCAACAGAGAGGAAGTTACAATTGTATAGATGAAGATTACAAATAACACGAACTGGAATTGTATAACATTTTGCATCCAAAAAAGAAAAAAAAACTGGGGGGAAAAAACCCCCAAAATACCGTTATTGGAAAATCAAAACCTTCCAATTTCAAAGACATATCTAAAGGAACAGTTGACCCCGACTCAGAACTGTGCCATTCCACGC